TTTCCTCTACCCTCCACACTATAATCTAACAAAGGCACCTTGAATACTTAACTAAACTTTACTTGACCATGAGAATTTGAGGAAGCAAACCACATAAACCTGGCATACCAATACCTTATTAAAATATGTCTCAATTCCAAAATAGATTTCTTCCATAAACAGAAATTCTAAAACAAATTTACACTAAAAGCACAGGAAGGAATAGACCTCTTTACTTACTTTCATCACTGCAGTTCCTCTGATGACATGACCCATCGTACCAAAGTCAAAGTCATCTTTCACATCAAAATAAAAATTATCTTTGTCCGGGCTGATGGCCTTCAGGAGTTTGGTGATGTTGTTGGAATATAGGGTGCTGGCCTGAGTGGCCATTCGGCTGGGCAGGTCTGTGTAGCCTATGTGAGTAATTCCCTAAATGAACAAAATTACAGTCAAAAAAGTCTATCGCCCTACATTCACATTCATTCTAGAACAATTCTCATTCATATTCAATGCTAAGTTTTGAAATTATATATCTTTATAAATATACGTACCTACCCATAAACATAAATACATATTTCAACAGGAGCTTTAAATATGCCTATTTTTAATTTTAAAATTTCAGGCCTCAATGTCTCTAAATATTTAAAGAAATAAACACCCCCTCATAACTCACTTAAGATATGAGAAGTGATCGCAGATAGAAAATGCATCTTGCTATACCTTATGAATGTAGAGTTCTCCTGGCTTAGTGGTTTCAAAGTTTCCACCAGCCTCAGCAGCTAAATCCACAACAACTGAACCTTCCTTCATTGACTCAATCATTTCTTTATTAAATAAAACTGGAGCTTTTTTACCTAATAAAATCAAAGAAAACAGCACAAGTTATATTATCATTTTCTAATGCCTTAACGTCTAATTATTACAATAGTCTCTGGCCATTCAGGAATTTAACATCTGAAATTTTAACTCTTTCCAAGAGACCCCTAAAGACCATAGCATGGGTGAGACTGGGAATTCTCTTAAGGAAAAAAATACGACAAGTGTAAGCTGCAAAGGCAGTGTGCAGGAGGGAGCCATGTGACTGGCAAGCAGGCCCTGCCATCTGCTCAGCATGAGAATCTCAGCACTGCTCTCCCCACCTGGTTTATACACCACAGCATTCACGAAGAGATCAACAGTTTGACTGTTTTTTTAAAAATGCATAATAATAAACCACTATGGAAACTATATGCACCCAAATTGAACAATTCGTAAAGGTCACCAATGTCAAGAGTACAGTTAATGCTAATTTATGAATTACAAAACAGAATATTGCCAATTATCTTAACATATGTCACCAGATTTTCTGACACATCATATTAACCTACCTTAATTTAACACAGAAAATTTTGAGGAGAGACAGGAAAATGCCAAGAGATCAAAAGAGTGAAATCCTACAACTCCAAAAGGTTTAGGAGTTCCCTCATACACTTTTATTCCCACTCAACAATTATGTATTGGTGTCTATAGTGAGTCAAGCCCTATCTATGCCTGGTGCTGGGAATACAGTGGTAAATAAACAAAAAAAAAAAGTCCTTGTTCTCATGGTGTACATTTTCCTTATTTAATAGTTCACCTTTTAAATTTGCAATGTGTTTTTAAGAAGTTCACTAATTCTTAAATAGAAGATGAAAACCCAGACCTTAGGACTTTTCGAGCTAATATACATCAATATGTTCAACAGGGGCTTATACTGTCAGCATACTGTCGTGTTCGCATTTCCATAAAACAATAGAAATACCTAAATCAAAAGATAAAGGAAATAAACTTGTGAGATTAGTAGTATGGAAGTAGAGCATAGCCGGGTGCAGTGGCTCATGACTGTAACAATTTGGGAGGCTGAGGTGGGGAGGATCACTTGACCCCAGGAGTTCTAAACCAGCTGGGGTCACATAGCAAGACCCCATCTCTACAAAAATAAAAAACTTAGCTGGACGTGGTGGCATATGCCTATAGTCCTAACCACCCAGGAGGCTGAGAAAGGAAGATCACTTGAGCCCAGGAACTCGAGGATGCAGTGAGCTATTTTTGCACCACTGCACTCCAGCCTGGACAACACAGTGAGACCCCATCTCTTAAAAATATACATATCTTTTATAAAAAGAAAGCAGATCATTAGTAGCCTGATTATCTTTAGCTCTTCTTTTGAAAGCTTTCAATTCTGTATTTACAGAATTTGATTCGAAAAGGAAAAATAACATTTGTAGTACATGTGGAAATAAAAGGTTGTGAAGATACAAGTGAGGTGTTTATGTAGTACTTCCTTCTTTTGCTACAAACTGTATAGTTTCGAGATAAAGTACAAATCCTAAGGCTCCTGGGACTGAATGCCTCTCATCCTGGGTGAAGTGCTTTTTCTAACATGCCCTCTTGAAACTGCACCATTGGATCTTCTTCTATTCCAGCCACACTGGGCTCACTGCCACATGATTTGTTAGAAGATCTCTTGTCCTTTCTTTTGAGTTTCCAAGAAAGAGCAAGAATCAAGAGACATTTTGCCCAGAGACAATACCCTGAAGTTCTGGTAGTTTCACCACTCCTCAAAATTCTCCAAAAGTATTCCTTTCCTCTACCCTCCACACTATAATCTAACAAAGGCACCTTGAATACTTAACTAAACTTTACTTGACCATGAGAATTTGAGGAAGCAAACCACATCCATCTGAGGACTCTTCCCAAAATAAAGGTCATGCTGCTTGGCTCTCCAGTGATTTAAAGTTATGGATCATATGGCTACCTTTACATAGAGGGGCACATTTAAAGGGCTACCTGTACTTTCCAGGTATTTACTGTCATCACCATCCCCACCCCCTGGGGCCAGAGCCTCTTCTCGATTTACCAGCCATTGTTTACCACAGCTTTTCCTCCCACCTTATTTGTACCCAGCTTTGGCCAATGATTGCACATATTTGATTTGGCATCTAACTAATTTCCTCTGCCCTAGATATTTGTGATTCCTTCTTTCTCCTGAGACATCCATAGCTAAGGATCAGTCCCTGGACTGTATGCTACCACTTTGCGAGACATCAAGTGGCCAAAACCATTTTAGGCTCCCTAGAAACATCAAAATATACAACCCATTTATCTCCTCTGATTTTACTCATTCAACCCCACAAAACAACTGTACAGTGGCTAACACAACTTTGAAAAACACACGTACATGTTTGCATCTTAATAATGATAAGTTGGGTGTTTTGTCCCTATTATTGCTCAGAAATTCAATCACTTTTAAAACAATAGCATATTATTTCACATAGGTTAACTTATTTGGTGCACAGACTGAAGGGTATCACTATAACAAGTTTAAAATTTTACTTAAGTCACACAAGAAAATTTAAAGACATGGAATTATTATAAGTAAAAAGCACATAACAAAATAGTATGTAAGTTTAGATATATATTTATATACATGAATGTTTTTATTTATATATACATAGATTAATATTATATAATACAATGCATTACACATATTGTACAGTTTGTAATAAATTCTATATCATATAACATTTAACAAAACCAGGGTATATTTGAGTGGTGAGGCTATTTTCTTCGCTGCGTTTTTCCTTATCTCCCAAATGTTTTAATTTTAAAATTAAAACATCTTTAATAAGGGCTACAGGGAATACAATCATGAATGTAACAGTGCAGCTGCCTTCAGGCACTCACATGTGGACTAATTTTTTGAAAATTCTGGAAAGTGCAGAAATAAAAATTGAAAACAGAAGGGAAAAAAGTAAATCCAAAAAAGAAGCAAAATAGTAAATAAAAGCTCCAGATGAGCAAAACCTCAAAAGAATAGGTCCAGAGACAGAAACACTGAGAAGACAATTTCAAAATACTATCTTACCCTGGTAGCCTAATATAATAAAGTTTAATGCATAATAAATGCAGCATTACACAATGAAGAACAAAAGTAATATGATGATTAGTTAGGTATCTGGGTAAAAAATATCTACCCAAACCTAATACCAGACATTAAACTCTAGAAATATAAGAATTAATTGTAAAAGAAGAGAATCAATTCATGAAGTGAAAGAAAAGAGGAAAAAGGAAACCTTGGTGAATATCTCTCCAGTCTGTGGCTAAAAAAGCACTTCCTAAATTTAAAGCAATGAAGAAAATTACAAAAGAAAACATCAATAGATTTAAATATGAAAAATGTATATATTACAATTCTTAAGAAACAGACAAAAATTGATGAAAAGCCCACAGAAATTTCAATAAAAACAAAACACTATATTCCTTTAGATAGGTGAACAATAAATACAAATGGAAAATTCAATAAAAACAGTAAAAACAAATAAAAGGTCACTCTTAGTATGATATGGAGAGATCACAGGTGATCTTTATTTTCTACTTTGTACTTTACAGCATCTCCAATAAAAGCCACATATCATTTTTATTTTAAAAATAAAATAAAGTACTCCTGGATAATCACAACCAGTTTCTCCTTTAAGTCAAGGAGAACTGGCGGTTTAAGAGTTGGTACTATGAGAACTAGAAGAACTTAGAAAAACCCCAACCTACTTACTTACCAATTCAAAAGCCTGACTCAAAATCACCTGCCCTCCCTCCCTTCTACAACAAATGACGCTATGCAGTTAGGGCAGTCTTTCAAGGACTGTACCAAAACATAATAAAGGGAGACACGGGCATAACTATACATGGAATACAAACAGGAAGATGTGTCAAGTTTTTTACATGTATAACATGGAAATGAATATATCCAATGTTTACAAATTCTTCAAATATAAAGAGATGCCCTCTACACCCCAGAGACAGCTTGGTGAAAGACCTAGATATAAAAGACAAAATAAGCACATCATTCTGACAAAGGCTTATAAAAAAAGAAAATAATAATAAACATATCAGGTATTTTGAGACAGAACTGCAAAAGAAACAGGAAAATTAATAAAAGAAGGCAGATGAGAGGCATTTTTAAAGCCCAGTTGGGCTTTTCCCCCTTTTGAAGTTCATTTCTATTAATTTTATCATTTATCTGCAAAAGATGAGATACACAAAAAGATCATTATATTTCCTAAACCAGCCCCCTTAAAAAAAATCAATCACTGTGACAGAATAAAATTAACAAGGAGAGAAAATTTTAAGAAATATTTTCTGACACAATACCAACTGTGGGTGAAGGATTTGGCATGATATCCAACTTTATGAAATATTTCTTGCTCCCTTCTGGTTTGTGGACATTAAGTTCCCCTGGAAGGGTTTCTCAGTTCCCTCTCAGAGGGACTTATTTCCATACTTTTGCCAAGAAAACTGTAGGACGTCAAGCTCTCACAGTCATCATTCAAATATTCATTCATTCATTGACATAACTAATACTTACTTAGTGCCTCCCATGTGCAGGGTGGATGGAGGAAGAAAAATTTTACTTAGGCTCTAAGGTCTAATATTTTACAACTAAAAGTGGCTGCATTCAAAGGTTGGTTAACAGTTTTATTACTAGAAGAGTTGGGTATTTAAAGCACTCATGTAAAAATTTGAATTATAGTTTCCCGATTGGTTGGTAGTTATTTGGAGTGAATAAAGGTACCACAGGTTAGTGTAAGTCATCCTTGAATCTCCATGTGCACCATGAATTGACTGTAGACTGAAAAACTGCCTTACACAAGTGTACTATTTCTTGATATATGCACATATGGCTGTGATTCAAGTAAAATCATTTTTAAATGTTATTGAATTCATAGCATCTTTTCTCAACCATGTATTTTCTCAATAAATGAATACTAAGATGCAGTTTTAAAAGTAGTAAAATGAGAAACTGCTAGAAAAACTAACTTCTGCTTTGTTTTTTGTT